CTCAGCTTCCTCTACTCTGCTGTTTAGACCTTCCAATGTGTTCTTTTTTTCCGATATGTCATTCTTGATTTCTTCTTGGTGGTTTTTAATTTCCTATTGTTGATTTTCAACATCTCTATGTCCTTACTCATACTGTCGAGCTTCCTGAAGATCATGGCTCTGAATTCTAGCTCTGTTAACTTGCTTAACTGCTCCACATTTATCTCATCTTCAGTAGAGGTCTCTTGTTCTTTTATTTGGATTTGTTTCTGTGTTTTACCATTTTGGCTACCACAGTGGGATTTGGAGCCTGCCAAATTTTCTCTGAGTGTTGGTATTCTGCTGTTTGTGGCTCCCTCACCTTGGGTTTGGATGAGCGAGGGAGGACCCACATTAAACACCACTGTCAAGTCCTCTTTCCTGGTTAGAGTTGCTAGCCCAGTAATGGTACAGTTATGCTCTAGCTTTTTGCCTGGAGGCTCTCAGTAATGGTTACTTGAAGAGTCTTAGTTTTACAATTGAATGAAAAACTCTTTCAGGTGCTCAGTGTAAGGGGATTTTTCGAGGGTGGGGCAGATGCTCCTTGTTAGTGAGCCTCAATTTGCATTTCAATGGCCCACCTGGGTGAGGTTGAATCTCCAAGGAGGGGCTGCTGCCTCTCTCCAGAGCCCTGGGATGGAGTAAGATTGCCACCGTCTTGCATTGATGCAACTCAGCAAAAGCTCTGAGCCCCCTCCAAATCCCAAGTGTCCTCACACAGTTTCAGTCCAGTTCGCCCTCCCTCTGCCAGAGCCCAAGGTGAGTGGCTGTGGCTATTTAGGCGTCTGTCCCAACTCTGCTCTGTGGAGCCACTTGGGAGTTTAACCCAAGGGCACTGCTCACAGCTAAGGCGGCTCCTGTCTATTGGCACCCAGCCCCCGTCTCACGCCTTTGTAATCCTTCCAGGATTGAGTCAGTGTCCCTGGTTATATGATCCTCGCAAGCTGTTTTTCTGTTGCTTTTTCCTGTCGATTTGTCTGTGTTTTAGTTGTATTTCCAGTTTGGTCCTGGGAGACGGTCTGTGTAGCTTCCATTCACTCCACCGCCATTTTGGAATCTCTTTTGTGATTGGGTTGCTGAGTATTCATTTAAGTGATTATTTTCTCTGTTTCACTTTTGTAGATCCAGTTGTCAAGATGCTAAATAACTTAAAGCAAATATTAAATAGTCAGGGTTTTTTCCTCCTAACTCACAACTTTCTCAATACTTATGCTTTTCCTAAAGCACTGTGACAGAACATATAGGATATAAATTGCTGCTTTTTGAGTTACAGTATATATATATATATATATATATTGTACAGATAGAGTGGGAGGGAGAGAGAGGAAGAGAGAGAGAGAGAGAGAGAGAGAAACAACGACAGGAAGGGACACATCGAGTGGCTGCCACCCGCACCACCAACCAGAGCCGGGGACAAACTGCAACAAAGATATGTGCACTTAGCAGGAACTGAACCCGGGTCTCTCCGGACCGCAGGCCGATGCTCTAACCACTGAGCCAAACTAGCCAGGGCATATATATATATTTTTAATTCTAATATTATTTATTTATTCATTTATTTTATTAATTAATTTTAGTTACAGATGTTTCTCCTTTTCCCCCCACTGATTTCCCCCCTCACCCTCCCTCCAGGCCCTCTCCCCAGCTTTGTTGTTCATGTTCATTTTTCATACATACATGCATATAAGTCCTGTGGTTTATCACTCCCTCACCACTCCCTCCTCTAGGGATTGTCAGTCTGTACCCCACTTCCACGTCTCTGGGACTATCCCATCTCTCAGACTGTTATGTTCATAATATTCCACAAATAAGTGAGATCATATGATAGTTGTCTTTCTCTGTTTGGCTTGTTTCGCTTAGGATAATACTTTCCAGGTCCCTCCATGTCGTCTCAAAGGATAAGAGATCTTTCTTTCTTACAGCTGCATAGTACTCCACTGTGTATATGTACCACAGCTTTTTTATCCATTCATCTACTGATGGACACTTGGGCTGTTTCCAGATCTTAGCTATTGTAAATTGTGCTGCTATGAACATGGGGGTACATATATTCTTTCTGATTGGTGTTTCAGGCTTCTTAGGGTATATTCCTAGCAGTGGGATCACTGGGTCAAATGGAAGTTCAATTTTAAATTTTTTGAGGTAACACCATATTGTTTTCCATAGTGGCTGCACCAGTCTGCATTCCCACCAGCAGTGTACTAGAGTCCCCTTTTTCTCCACACCCTCAACAACACTTGTTGTTTGATGATTTGTTGATGGCGGCCATTCTGACAGTGATGAAGTGATACCTCATTGTTGTTTAATTTGCATCTCTCTGATGATTAGTGATGTTGAGCATTTCTTCATATGTCCCTTAGCATTTGTATGTCCTGTTTGGAGAGGTGTCTATTTATTTCCCCTGCCCATTTTTTAATTGGGTTCTCTGTCTTCCTTTTGTGGAGTTGTATGAACACTCTCTATATATTGGAAATTAACCCCTTCTCTGATATATCATTGGCAATTATGCTCTCCCATACAGTGGGTAGCCTTTCCATTTTGATGATTGTATCTTTCGCTGGGCAGAAGCTTTTGAGATTGATGTAGTCCCATGTGTTAATTTTCTCCTTTGTTTCTATTGCCTTAGGTGATGTATCAGTGAAAATTCTGCTGCCTATTATGTCTGAAATTTTGTTGCCTACAGTTTCTTCTAGGATTTTTATAGATTCATGAGTCACATATAAGTCTTTTATCCATTTTGAGTTTAGTCTTGTGTAGGGTGTAAGTTGATGGTCTAGCTTCATTTTTTTTTGCATGTATCTGTTCTATTTTCCCAACACCATTTATAAAAGAGGCTGTCTTTACTCCACTCTATGCTCTTACCACCTTTGTCAAATATTAATTGAGCATATAATGTTGGGTCCATTTCTGGGTTCTCTGTTGTGTTCCACTGGTCTATGTGTCTGTTCTTGTGCCACTACCAGGCTGCTTTGATTACAGTGGCTTTGTAGTGTACCCTGAAATCTGGTAATGTGATCCCTCCAACTTTGTTCTTCTTTTTCAAGATTGCTATGGCTATTCGAGGTCTTTTTTGCTTTCACCTGAACTTTTGAAGTATTTGTTCTAATTCTGTGAAGTATGTCGTTGGTATTTTTATGGGGATTGCATTTAATCTATAGATTGCTTTGGTTAATATGGACATTTTAATGATGTTAATTCTTCCAATCCATGAATAGAGTATGTGCTTCCACTTTTTTATATCTTTCTCTATTTGTTTTTTTTTTTTTTCAATGACCTGTAGTTTTCTGTGAATAGGTCCTTTATTTCTTTGGTTAAGTTTATTCCTAGGTTTTTGTTTGTTTGTTTTTTTTTGCCGCAATGTTAAATGGGATTGTTTTCTTAGTTTCTCTTTCTGTGAGTTCATCATTGGTGTTTAAGAATGCCATCGATTTCTTGATGTTAATTTTTTATTCTGCTACTTTTCCAGATTCATTTATTAAGTCTTGTAAATTTTTGATGGAGTGTTTGGGGTTTTCTACGTATAGTATCATGTCATCTGTAAATAATGACAGTTTTACTTCCTCCTTTCTAATTTGGATCCCGTTTATTTTTTCTTCCTGTCTGATTGCTGAGTTACAGTATATTTTTATAAAAAGTTATTTGCCCATGCCTGGCTGGTGTGGCTCAGTGAGCATTGACCCATGCACAAAGAGGTCTCCAGTTCAATTTCTGGTCAGGGCACATGCCTAGGTGTGGGGCAAGTCCCCATGGGGGCATGTAGGAGGTGGACAATTAATGTTCTGTCTCATTGATGTTTCTGTCTCTTTTCCTCTCCCTTACTCTCTCTCTCTAAAATCAGTAAACAAAAAAAAAATCTATATTTTTTTTTTTAAAAAAGGTATTTGCCCTTGGAACTTGAACCTGCAAAAAGGTTATACTGTTACCAAGTGACAGCAGATGTCCTATCTTACCTGATTGAACTACCAACGCTGAAGCTATAGACCTGTTTAACAGAGATATTTTATCCTTTTTCTTTATCCTCACCGGAGCACATTTTTGCATTTATCTTTAGTCAGAGCAGGAGGGATAGAGAAACATTGATGTGAGAGAGATGGCACCAAAGTTCATGCCATTAGTGGGAACCACACCTGGGCCTCTCCCATCAGTGGGCCGATGTTCAACTGCTAAGCCAAACTGGCCAGTAACCAAGATATTTTATAATCTGTATTTTGATGTGAGTGAGTGTACATATGGATGTATTTGAATGGCTGTATGCTTTTAAGCTGTGCAGATATATTCCAGTAATCTGTATTTCCTTCTTTCATGAGGTTTCCTTAAATTTTATTATTCTGTGCCTGTGGTCAAGGCATCCAGGCAGGAGAAGGAGTTTATTCTCATTTCTTTAATTTTGACATTGTGTAAGCAATAGCTCCAGGTTTCCTCCAAATTGATAGAAAGTATCCATTGATTGGAAACAGTTTGTGAGCATATGAAAGATTGCTTGTGTCCCTGATCATTCCCAAACTTTAGAGAGCCTTTCCAGGGCACATATAGGTAAATTGGCACACCAGGGAAAGACAGATTAAAGCGTTATGTGTTCCTATCCAAACTATAATTGTTATTCTTATCCTAAAACCAATTATTTTTTTTGCAGTCTGTAATTTTGGTACAAGAAATCACACTGAACAGCTTCTTTTACTAGAAAGAAAATAAATGATCAACTTTTGCATCTCCCAACCTGCCTGAACATTTGAGACTTTGTTTCAAACATTATTCTTTCCTTGTCATGGGCCTTGGTTTTTCCCATACCACAAAAGGCTCCCTAAACTATGATATCCTGGTAGTTACTTATTGAAAAGTCTGGGAAATCTGCACCACACTTTGGTGCCCCAGGCCTGATATCCCCATTGATGCCCCATTGCCCAGCCCAAGTAGCTCAAGACAGCCATCTTTCTGTTCACTGCTTCCTGCTGCTACTCACTAAGCTGTGCTTGTTTTTCCAGGGTGAACCAGGACTTCAAGGTGCCCCAGGAACCAGTGGCCCTACAGGTTTCCCGGTAAGTCTCCTTATTTGATCAACATGTATACAGTATTTTATTGATCAAAAGTGATAGCAATAGAAGGCTAACAGGAAGACTTTGTTCTATAGTTATTGTAAAGAATTCCAACATCTTCATTATTAGAAGGCATTTGAAATGTTCTTGTTTCTTGAATCCATGGGAACTTAGCATAGTTATTCATGAGACTATATATCTTAGAGTTTATTTGCTGAAGCTGTAGAGTTAAAACATACCTAAGTTTGCCCAGCTGTTGTGGATCATTGGTTGAGTGTCAACTCATGCACCAAGAGGTCGCCAGTTCAATTCCTGGTCAGGGCACTTGCCCAGGTTGTGGGCCCGATCCCCAGTGGGGGGGCATGCAGGAGGTGGCCAATTGATGTTCTCTCTCATCAATGTCTTTATCTCTCTCCCTTTCCTTTCGTCTCTCTCTAAAATCAATAAAGAGAGATTATTAAAAAAAACAACAAAAAAAAAAACAAACAAACAAACAAACAAAAAAAAACAGATGTAGGCCCTGGCCAGTTTGGCTTATCAGAGTATCGGCCTGTGGACCAGAGAGACCTGGGTTTGGTTCCCGCTAAGGGAACGTACCTTGGTTGCAGTTTGACCCTGTCCCCGGTTGGGGTTGTGTGGGTGGCAACCAGTTGATGTGTCTCTCTCATGTCAATGTCTCATTCTCTCTCTCTCTCTCTCTCTCTCTCTCTCTCTCTCTTTCTCCCTCTCTCCCTCCCCCCTCCCTCTCTCCCTCCCTCCTGCTCTATCTGAAGATAAATGCAAAAATGTCCTCAGGTGAGGGAAAAAAAAAACAGATGTAGGCTTGACTTCTGGCGTCACCAGCTTCTAGCTATGTGACATTGGACAATTTTCTTAACTTAATGAAAAGAACTTATCACATACCTGGAATTTATAAATTGTTCAGTAATGGGAGTTAAATTTTGCAATCCTATCTTCACTTTCCTATCTGCCTTTGTATCTTAGATTCTTTCACTCAAAAAACCTTTTGAGGGGCCCTATATGCTAGGCGTTCTGCTAGACTCTGAGGCTACAAGAGTTATACCAGTTCAATAATTAAAAGTCCCCGTCCTTGAGGAGAGTGCATTCTAATAAAAGAGTGAGGGAAGAGACAGACAATAAACAAGTAAACAAATAAATCAAGTATAAGTTTATGTAGTAGTAAGGGACTCTAGAAGATAAAAAAAATAAAATAAATGAGACTGAAAATGGCGGCGAAGTGAATGGAAGCTACACAGACCATCTCCCAGGACCAAACTAGAATTACAACCAAAATAAAGACAAATCATCAGGAAAAGGCATCCAAAAAGCAACTTAGGGGACCACATAACCAGGAACACTGACTCAATCCTGGTAACCTTGCGAAGATGCGAGAGGGGGCCGGGAGCCCACAGTCCGCAGCAGCCTGAGCTGGGAGCTGCGGCAGCCTTGGCTGGGACCTGCAACCTCACCTGGGAGCTTCGCCCTTGGCTAGGAGCTGCACCCTCAGCTGGTAGCTGCCGCAGCTTTGGCCTGGAGCAAAGTCCTTAGCTGGGAGTGACACCCTTAGCTGGGAGAGGCGCCCTTAGCTGGGAGCGGCTTGCATGGGTTAAACTCCCAGGCACTTCCACAGTGCAGAGCCAGGACATAGGCTAAAACAGCAGCAGCCACTCACTTTGGGCTCTGGCAGAAGAAGGGCAGACTGGACTGGAACTGTGTGGGGACACTCAGGATTTGGAGGGCACTCAGAGCTTTTGCTGAGTTGCAGCAATGCAGGACTGTGGTCATCTTACTCCTTCCCAGGGCACTGGGCAGAGGCGGTGGCCCATCCCTCAGAGATTCAACCCCACACAGTGGCCATTGAAATGCTAATTGAGGCCCATTAACAATCAGCATCTGCCCCACCCTCAGGAAATCATCTTACACTGAGCACCTGAGGAAGTTTTTCATTCAACTCAGAAACCAAGGTTCTTCAGGTGACCACAACTTATAGCCCCCAGGCAAAAAGCTAGAGGATAACTACCATTCCCTGGGCTAGCAAATCCAACCAGGAAAGTAAGACTTGACAGTGGTGATTAACTTGGGTCCTCCCTGCTTCATCCAAACCCAGGAGAGGGAACCACAAACAGCAGAACACCAACACCCACAGGGAAAATTTGGCAGGCTCCAAAGTGCACTGTGATAGCCAAAATGGTGAAACACAGACACAAAGGCAAAATGAAAGAACAAGAGACCTCTACCGAAGATGAGATAAATGAGGTGCAGTTACACAAGTTAACAGAACTAGAATTCAGAGCCATGATCTTGAGGAAGTGCAACAGCATGTGTAAGAACATAAGAACAATGAGAAAATAGGTAGAAATGTTGAAAATTAACCAGTAGCACATTAAAAACCACAAGGAAGAAATGAAAAATGACATATCAGAAATAAAAAATACATTGGAAAGTCTAAATAGCAGAGTAAAGGAAGCTGAGGACCGGATCAGTAAATTAGTAGATAGGGTAGAAAAAATCAAACAATCAGAAAACCAAAAGGAAAAAAAACAAATAAAAAAACAAGAAAACAGCTTAAGAGAACTGTGGGACAACTGGAAACGTAATAATATTCGCATCATAGGAGGCCTTGAAGAAGAAGAAAATGAGCAAGTGTTAGAGAATATATTTGAAGAAATAGTGACAGAAAACTTCCCTAATTTGGGGAAAGAAGAAGGCATTCAATTTTAAGAAGCACAGAGAGCCCCAAGTAAGAAGAACCCAAACAGGCCCACACCAAGACACATAGTAATCAAAGTGCCAAAAATTAAAGACAGAGAGAATCCTAAAAGCAGCAACAGACAAGCAACAGGTTACCTACAAAGGAAACCCCATAAAGCTCTCAGCTGACTTCTCAACAGAAGCACTACAGGCCAGAACGGAATGGCATAAAGTAATCAAGGTCAAGAAAAACAAGGATCTGAATCCAAGACTACTCTACCCAGCAAGGCTATCATTCAAAATAGAAGGTCAAATAAAGAGCTTCCCAGACAAAAAGAAGGTAAGGGAATACATTAGTACTAAACCAGCACTGCAAATAATGTTAAAAGGACTGCTGTAATTAGCAGTAGAAAAGGGAAGAAAAATAGAACCACACTAAACAAAAATGGCAATAAATAAGTCCATATCAATAATCACCTTAAATGTAAATGGATTGAATGCTCCCATAAAAAGACACAGAGTAGCTGATTGGATAAGTAAGTATGACTCATCTATATGTTCTTTACTAGAGACCCACCTCACAACAAAAGAGTCACATAGGTTGAAACTGAAGGGATGGAAAAAAATCTTCCAAGCAAATGAAAAGGAAAAAAAAGCTGGGGTAGCAATACTCATATCTGATAAAATAGATTTCAAAATGAAGGCCATAACTAGAGACAAAGAAGGCCACTACATAATATGGAAAGGATCTATCCAACAGGAATATATAACCTTGATAAACATATATGCACCCAATATAGGAGCACCAAAATATATGAAAAAAATCTTCTGGATGACTTCAAAGGAGAAACCAACAGCAATACGATCATAGCAGGGGACTTCAAAACCCTGCTGACATCACTGAATAGATCATCTAGACAAAATTTAACAAGGAAACACAGACTCTAAATGAAGCACTAGACCAAATGGATTTAATAGATATCTACAGAGAATTACACACCAAAACTACAGAATTCACTTTCTTCTCAAGTGCACATGGGACATTCTCAAAGATAGACCACATGTTAGGACACAAAGTCTCTACAAGTTCAAGAAGATTGAAATCATATCAAACATCTTCTCAGATCAAAATGGCATGAAACTAGAAATCAACTGCAACAAGAACATGCAAAGACATTTGAAAACATGGAGGCTAAATAGTATGTTATTGAACAATAAATGGGTTACTATGGTGATCGAGGAAAAAATTAAAAACTTCCTGGAAACCAATAGAAATGAACACACAACAACACAAAATCTATGGGATGCAGCAAAAGCAGTTCTGAGAGGAAAGTTCGTAGCACTACAGGCCTACTTCAGAAAACAAGAAAAATCTGTAATGGACTATCTAACTTTACAACTTAAAGAACTAGAGATAAAACAAAAAGGAATCCCAGAGCAAGTAGAAGGAAGGAAATAATAAAGATCAAAGCAGAAATAAATGACATAGAGTCCAGAAAAAACAATTCAAATGATCAATGAAACAATGAGCTGGTTTTTCAAAAAGATAAACAAGATCGATGGATCCTTAGCTAGACTCACTAAGAAATGAAAAGAGAGAACCCAAATACACAAAATCAGAAGTGAAAGAGAAGAAGTAACAACTAACACTACAGAAATACAAAAGATCATTAACAAGTACTATGAACAATTATATAGCCACAAATTCGACAATCTAAGCAAAATAGAAAAATTTCTAGAAACACACAGTCTCCCAAAACTGGACCAGGAAGAGGTAGAAAACTTGAACAAACTAATAACAACTAAGGACATTGAAGAGGTAATCAAGACTCTCCCAGCAAACAAAAGCCCAGGCTCGGATGGTTTCATGGGGGAGTTTTATCGAACATTCAAAGAAGAACTAACACCCATTCTCCTCAAACTATTTCAAAAAATTCAAGAAGAAAGATTTCCAAACTTGTTTTATGAAGCCAGCATAATTCTAATTCCAAAACCAGAAAAAAACACTACAAAAAAAGAAAACTACAGGCCAATATCCCTGATGAACATAGATGCCAAAATCCTGAACAAAATACTAGCAAATCGGATCCAGCAATACACCAAAAAAATTATTCAGCATGACCAAGTGGGATTCATCCCAGGAATGCAAGGATGGTGTAATATACGCAAATCAATAAACGTGATACACCGCATAAATAAAATGAAGAATAAAAACCATATGATCATATCAATAGATGCCGAAAAAGCCAGCATCCATTTCTCATAAAAATGCTCAGCAATGTGGGAATAGAAGGATCATATCTCGACATGAT